TAACTGTAAGAATAAAAGTATAATATTTGTATTTAATCAAAAGGGGACCATGGGGGTTAGAGGTTAGGAGCGGGGAAAAACAGGAGAAGCTGCTTCAAGATAAAGAGCTAGCAACCAGAGAACAGCAGGAACCTGGAACTCATAGGAACCTGTAGGTTCTGCCTTTTAGGGTGCAAGGGACACATTTTATTCACTGTGATAAAGATATTCCAGTAACTTCAGGAGCAACTAAGTAGAAGCATATAGATCAGATCCTAAACTAGCACAACGTGAGGTAGCTTCACAGCCATCATAGAAACCACTTTATACCAGCTGAGAATCTGAAAGAATATTTACAATTCCTATGTTGAGAGGAACCCTGTTCTAGATGATGGTAAAAGAGAACCTATTATTGGATTTGAGCTTCCTTCTACAAAGCTCCAGATTCAGACACACATTTTTCCACGATCAAATTGTGTTCGAAATCCGATGCTGTTACTGAGGTTCTGAACTTGCTCTCTCAATGAATCCAGCGGGAGTAAGGACAGGTTCATGGAGACTAAAAATCGGATGTGATTAATTTATTTTAATGTCACATGGAGAAAACAGAGGACTCCAGTAAGTCAAAGCAAATACAACACTTTTAAGGCCCTAGTCTTAAAAATTTCATGCAGCCTGTAGTGACTGAGGAGGGCAGGGCCAGGCTACTGTAAGTTAAATATAAATTACTTTTCTAGTAATATTTTGTTCCAGACATTAAAAGCATTACAAATCTCTTTTGATTTGTATACAAAAACATTTAAAAAGAGTAGCTTACCCCTTCTTCTTGATCGCCTTCTCTAACATTTTCTCATAAGATAACTTTTCTTTATCATACTGTGCCACTATTTTGTCAACTTGTGTGCAGTGCAACTTCTGCATAGCACTGTGCTCCTGGAAAACAGTAGGACCTTACAATTAGGTTGCTTGACTTTTAATGTTTCATTTTTATTATAGTTGATAATGTAAGTGTATGAACAAATATGCTTGGTATTGTATTTAATCCCTTTTAGCTGCCTGGTACCAAGGGGTCCAAATCTCTCTCAGTAAATATAAAGCCTTTCTCTTTGGTACATATCAAGAAAATCTGTTGTTACAGTGTTCGTATCCTGAAAATATGGTATAGTTATCACAAACCAAAATAATTTATGGAAACAATGCCAGCTGGTAATATCTACATAACTGTATCTTTTTGGAATAAATAATCATTTAAATGTGGTGAATTAATACAATTTATGACCTCAGATTAAATACTATATAAAGATTCTGGAATTTCAGGGACTACCAAAAAAATAACAGGCATTCCCCTAAGCATCTCAGACTGAACATAGTGCCAGATCTTCAGCGAGTGTAAATCATGTAGTTCAACAAAAGGCAATACAAATGTACATTGGCTGAGGATCAGGCCCATAAGTCTAATGACACTGGGTATTTTGTTGTCGCAAAGCAATGCAGAAGCTGGTTCCTTATTGCAAGTGACTTTCAGCTATGCAATAAGGAAGGCTATCAAGCATATATTTAGTTACCTACAACGGAATATCTGTGTTTTTCTTTTTGGTCTTTCCCATGCACAAGCTACTCGTAAGGGGCCTGATTCTGGTCTCTATCACACCATTGTAATTCTACTGATTTCAGTGCAGTTACACCTGATTTGCACTAGTGTAAAGGGGGAAACAATTTCCCCCATTAGAACAAAAGGTGCACACACAGATTACAGACACAGGTCCACCTGGTTATAAATACTACTCTGTTTTGGAAGCAATACTCCTCACTTAATATTTGTATATTCTGGCTCCAAGCTGGACTGAAACCGATGAGCAATTTTAATCACCCTTCCTTAAGAAGCACACTTACTCTTCTTCAATGTCTGATTAGCAGTGATGGTTTTAAAGTACCGAGCATACACTGCAATAGGGAATTTTGTAGCTTTAGTTATTTTATTAATGTACTATAGCCTTAGATTTCATCTGGTCTTGACAGAAAGGTCTTGTATTAACTGTTATGGTTTGGCTTAATGTGGGAAATGTAAACAGATCACATTAAAAAGTTATATGGATTTTTGTCTGTTTTCATTTACTTTTGCTACACATTCTGAATTTACACTACTGCTCTGTGTCATAAGTTTTATTGCTACTATTTCACAGATATTAGAATCATAGAATACTAGAACTGGAAGGGATCTGGAGAGATCATCAAGTCCAGTCCCCTGCCCTCATGGCAGGACCAAGCACCATCTAGATCATCCCTGATAGATGTCTGTCTAACCTGCTCCTAAATATCTCCAGAGATGGAGATTCCACAACCTTCCCAGACAACTTATTCCAGTGCTTAACCACCCTTGCTACAGTTTAAGCCCATTGCTTTATGTTCTACAATCATTTTTTCTCCCTCTGACTCCCTTTTAGATACCTGAAAACTGCTGTCCCCTCTCAGTCTTCTCTTTTCCAAACTAAACAAGTCCAATTCCTTCTGCCTTCCCTCATAGCTCATGTTCTCTAGACCTTTAATCATTTTTGTTGCTCTTCTCTGGACTTTCTCCTAGTTCTCCACATCTTTCTTGAAATGTGGTGCCCAGAACTGGACACAATACTCCAACTGAGGCCTAATCAGTGCAGAGTAGAGAGGAAGAAAGACTTCTCGTGTCTTGCTCATAACATTCCTGTGCATGCATCCCAGAATCACGTTTGCTTTTTTTGCAACAGTGTCACACTGTTGACTCATATTTAGCTTGTGCTTCACTATGACCCCCAGATCCCTTTCTGAGGTACTTCTTCCTAGACAGTCGCTTCCCATTCTGTATGTGTGAAAATGATTGTTCCTTCCTAAGTGGAGCACTTTGCATTTGTCCCTATTAAACTTCATCCTATTTACCTCAGACCATTTCTCCAGTTTGTCCAGATAATTTTGAATTGCTGATATCATAGGAATGGATTTATCAGTGCAATTCCTTTTAAAAAATACCAATGATAGAATTTCACATCAACTTTAGTAAATGCCGCAACACTTTTAAAAGCTAGCATTAAAATGTGAACCTGAATTCCAGCATCTGTTATCCACCCCTCTGGGCATTAATATATTCAGCTCCTGCAATTTCTATTCAGAATGAGGCATTGAGCTTTCTGTTCCACAGAGGATCAAAGGGAAAAAATGGACTCCGTCAGCGCTAGAAAGATGCCAGCTTCAGCGGGGAATAAACATGCTGATTAGTAGACTAAGAGACACCGCAGACAGTGAATAGGATGAAGCAGGCCTGATGGCATTAGAGAGCCACAGGTGAATTGCCTGATATATATTTAATTACTGAAGCCACATACTCTTCCCCAGATAAACAGAACAGTACAGTTCTTGATATAAAAAACTAAGCATAATGATCTGAAATTATATGCCAGCTGTACACTGAACTGGCACTTCTGCATAAATGGGGTAAAGGAGATAATATTCAATGCTGGAATCCTGCTTTATTTAGGGACTAGAAGAACTTCCCTGTCACCAATTTTAATCTTTTCAGAATACTAATCTAAGGTATTATATACCCTGATGTGCTGTGTTCCATAAAAAGCTATTTCAGACAGGTAACCGACTGGGCCGTGTTTTCTTTGTGGACACACACTCATTACAAATTGTTTCATGCAACAACCGCTGAGTGGAGAAGCACACAAATGCATGCAGCAAAAAAGGAAGGAAATACACAGCTTTGTGTTGGGACACTGCCTTTGTCATCCAAGTATTTGGGTGATGCTGCGCTAGCAGAGCAGAAACAGAAAGAAATCACTGAAGAGAAGTGGAAGAACACTGGAGAGGAATCGAAGACACACTGATTGATGGAGGATAACTGACTCATGTTCATGTTGGGGGGGGCTGTTGCTAAAGGTAGCAGCCAGCTCTCCATTGTTTATTAGAGCATTTAAAGCCTGTGGAGCAAGTTCCATTTTTCTTAATTTTCTCCTGTGAATCATCTGTGCACATGGTCTCCTCCTCCTGCATTTCGCTTTTGCGTCCTTCTCTTTCATCCGCCACCTCTAGCCATTTTCTGAGCTTTTCTCGGCTCCCATTGCAAGCTGAGAATTAATCCTTCATTTCTTCTCTCGCTGCTTTCTTTCTTCATAAGTTTGCTCATGAACTCTCTAGTTTTGCCTTTCCGACTTCCTTGACGACTCTCCGATGACGAAGTAGTTTTAAGAAAACAAAACAACCCCCCCCCCCACACACACCCCTTAGTACACATGCACAAGTTCTTCCTTGTGATCTGGGGATGTCTGCAGGGAAGGAGGGGGGAAAAAAAAGACGGTAGGTTGAAAAATCATAGAATCATACACTTGGAAGAGACCTCAGGGTGTTATTGAATCCAACCCTCTCCCCAAAACAGGACCAACCCCCAGTTAAATCATCCCAACCAGGGCTTTGTCAAGCCTGGCTTTAAAAACCTCTAGGGATGGAGATTCTACCACCTGCCTAGGGAACTCATCCCAGTACTGCACCACCCTTCCAGGGAAATAGTTTTCCCTAATATCCAACCTAGACCTCCCCCACTACAACTTGAGACCATTGCTCCTGGTTCTGCCATGCGTCACTACTGCGAATGGCCTCTCACCATCCTCTTTGGAACCCCCCTTCAGGTAGTTGAAGGCTGTTATCAACCCTCCCTCCCTGCCCCACACTCTTTTCTTCTGTAAGTGTGAATAAGCACAAATCTCTCAGCTTCCCCACATGAATCATGTGCTCCAGCCCCCTTATTATTTTTGTTGCCCTCTTCTGGACTTTCCCCAGTGCGTCCACATTCTTTCTGTAATGGGGGAGGAGGGGCAAACTGGACACAATACTCCAGATGTGGCCTTACCTGTGCTGATTAAACGGGAATAATCACTTCCCTAGAGCTGCTGGCAATGCTCCTCCTAATATGCCGTTACCCTTCTTGGCTATAAGGGCACACTACTGACTCATATCCATCTTCTCATCTAGTGTAATCCCCGGTCCTTTTCAGCCCAACTGCTGGTCAGCCAGTTGGTCCCCAGCCTGTAGCAATGTTTGAGATTCTTCTGTCCCAAGCACAGGACTCTGCACTTGTCCTTGTTGAACTGTGAAATAATTCAATGTATCTGTCCAACTGTGCTATTGTAGGACATAAGTTACAGGCATCCATTGTTTCAAATGTTCTAGAGTTTTCTGAATTGCTGCACGAAATCACCAACTTGATTTTACATAACAAATATTTCACCCAAAGCCCCATTACCTTGTATAGATGTTGGGTACACTACAGGGTGAGCCGCTGGTAAGTACTCTTTTTAATGCCCAGTTCTGGGTCTCTGGCACTTAACACAATGGCATGCACTGTAGTCATTACAGCTAACGAAGAGAGCAGAGGTCTAGGAGAATCCATTTGGAAACGTTCATTTCTGAGCCTGAAGCCACCTTCACATATTGGGAATGAAAAAAAACTTGATACTCAAGCCTGATACGCACATGTAATAGCCGGGACACTGAATTTTTATGGGACACGTGGAAAAATAGCCCTTCCGCTTTATTGGGCAGCATCCAGGCGTTGAGTTAAATTCATCTTAATGTGTATCTCTGGAAAAAATCTGGAGAGGAACATTCTGAACAATGCAGCGCAGCACCTCATACTATGGTCTTTTTATTGTTGCTTTGCCTCCCAAGGATCATCATCCTTTCCCCTTGCCTCCAGTTTTGACCTTCTGTCTTTGAGTGCCCTCTCACATGGCTCCTCAAAGCAACTGGCCCATCTCTCACGGCTGGATGAGAGTTGGGAGCTCTCCAGTAAGTGCACAGATTCAGCCAGAAATTGTCACCTCCTCACCCTGTGTTAGCCAGTTCTTCTGAGCAGGTCTGCCTTTCTGATCTGGAGTCACAAAATTATCATTCGAGACTATATTACA